ACACACACATACATACATACACACACTTCAGAAACTTGGCATTCAGAAACTTGTGTAAAGAATCATTCAGAACTTTGTATACCACATATGTCAGGCCAATCCTGGAGTATGCAGCCCCAGCATGGAGTCCATATCTAGTCAAGGATAAGACTAAACTGGAAAAGGTTCAAAGGTTTGCCACCAGACTAGTACCCGAGCTGAGAGGTATGAGCTACGAGGAGAGACTACGGGAATTAAACCTCACTTCGCTGGAAGACAGAAGAGTTAGGGGGGACATGATCACCACATTCAAGATTCTGAAGGGGATTGATAGGGTAGATAAAGACAGTCTATTTAACACAAGGGGAACACGCACAAGGGGACACAGGTGGAAACTGAGTGCCCAAATGAGCCACAGAGATATTAGAAAGAACTTTTTTAGTGTCAGAGTGGTTGACAAATGGAATGCATTAGGGGGTGATGTGGTGGAGGCTCACTCCATACACAGTTTCAAGTGTAGATATGACAGAGCCCGATAGGCTCAGGAATCTGTACACCTGTTGATTGACGGTTGAGAGGCGGGACCAAAGAGCCAGAGCTACACATACATACACATATATTTGTCTCTTTTACTCTGACAGGGTGAGATAGCTGACAAGAGAAACTAGTGTGCAATTAAGAACTTAACCACTGAAGGTGACTAAGATGCTTTTACAAGCTCAGGTTATATAGTTACATTACATGGTTAATCTAGGGTACAAGTCCAATATATCATCAAGTGTTCCAGTACTCATATAGTAGTTACAGAGTTCAGCATACCTCAGCCCAGGAGGGCAAAAGTCAGACAATATGGGACTTTCTACAATATAATGTTCAAGTGAGCGCATGTTTTCTCCTTCACAAAGTTGACACATTGTGTACTCGACATTTAGGTTTTGAGAGAGCTGCCAGATACGTCTATATCCCAGGCGTATTCTTGCAACTATGACATCACATTGCCGAGTTCTTGCTCTATTAGTCCCATATGTGAATGTCTCCTCACGATATCTATCATAATATTTAATGCTGCAACTTTCAGGTCTTTGTGAATTTGTTAGGTCGGTGAGATCTTCATTAGATATTTGTTCAAGTATTCTCTTTGTTACTGCTAGTGAAACACCCATATCAATTTCTACTACTGGTTTCCTACAAGCTGTCTTTGCAAGCATATCAACAGTGGCATGCCTTGAGATGCCAACATGTGATGGTATCCATAGGAATTTAATTTCAAATCTGTTTTCTTTAGCAGCTAAAACATTCATTCGAATATCACTGACTATTTTCTGGGTATCCCTACTATGTGCATTCAGTGCCAGGAGTGCACTCTGCGAGTCACAGTATATAAGTCCAATGCCTTTGTCTTTTAAAAATTCAGTGGCAAGGTATATATGCCTGCAAGTTAGGTTCGAGTTGTACTTGCCCAATCATTGACGCGCTTTATTGCTGTATGTACGAGAGAGGATTGTTCAAATATATTACATGCACATCCGGTACATCGTCCACCTACTTCTACAGAGCCGTCGGTATAGCACTGATACACATTGTTACCCATACTTTGAGTACTTTCAGTGATGCTTTTCAGTGTTAACTGTTTTAATAATGTAGAGTGTGCACTATCTTTCATGGGTGCATTTACAAAATCAACTGATAGATCCCAGTTATCCCATGGAGTAATTGGCTGATTAATCATTAACTGGGTTGGGTACATATTTAAGAATTTGATGGAATTGGCTACCTTGTAGAACCAAAATGCATAATCAGATTTCGCTCTTCTTCTATAGACCTCAGGTGAGTGTAGCATATTAGAAAGTTTTTCTTGAAACTTCATGTATTGCCGAGATCTACTCAACGCCTTCACGCCGAAAACTGTGCTAATGGACAAAATTCTTTCACTTATGGTAGGCAATTTTAACTCTGCTCTCATATTAACTATTCTCGTGGACTTTGGAGCCCCAAGGATGAGACGCATAGCTTCGTTTTGCAAGGTTTCAAGAGATTTCAGCTCTTTGTCTGTATACAGTGTGAGATGTAGAGCATTGTAGTCAATCACAGAGCGTAAAAATGATACATAAAACATTCTAGTACGTCTCACGTTAATTCCATGATTGACACCAACAAGGACCCGCAAGGGCTTTAATCTCTCCCAGAGCCTCGTCTTGAGTGAAGAAAGGTACCCAGGGTCGTTAATGGGGACACCAAGGTATCTGTAGGACTCGCAGTTCTCAAATACTCGCCCATCTATATGATAATTGGCTGGTGAAATACCACATGGAATGAGGGCACGAGTTTTCTTTACAGAGACATTCCTCATCTCTGCTATCAAAAGCATCGAACAGAACTTGCATTCTAGGTTCAGAGGCAGCCTGTAAACATATATCATCAGCATAACAGATGACAGTGTCTTCATTATTAGTTGGGAGATCTTTAATAAGTTTATGCATCAGAACGTTGAACAACAAGGGACTGAGGACCCCTCCTTGTGGAGTTCCCAGTTCAAAGTGTTTGCTCTCTGTGCTTTTTACACCATTAAACAAAACATATGCTGTTCGATTAGACAAATATCCCTTTATCCATTTCAATAATTTTCCTTGTATTCCTAGCTCAGCAAGCTTTTCTAGTATGATTTCCCTGTTTGCTGTATCAAAAGCTGCAGGTAGGTCGACGAAGACTACTTGAGGGGAAGTTTTAATATGAGCGAAGTATTCAGCAAAACAGTGTTGTGTACTGAGCCCAGGCATAAATCCAAACAGTTGGGGGTGACAGGTGCCCCTGTATACGATACATGAGTCGGTTAAGGACAATGCGTTCAAGCACTTTACAGACACACGATGTTAGAGATATGGGTCTATAATTATCTTAGTGTGGTTTGGGGATGGGAACAATGACACTCTTTGTCCAAGCATCAGGTAATACTCCTTCACTTAAACTCATTCTGTACAGCACTAAAAGTGGATTACCTGGTACTTGTGAGACTAATCTCAGTAGACTGTAAGTAATACCGTCCTCTCCAGGAGCAGTTAATTTGCCCATCTTTAGTGCATGATTTAATTCCCATTCAGTTACATCATTAAGATCAGACACGTCAATAGCTGTACAGGCAAGATTGATGGTTCGTTGTCTGTTGGGGCGTGTGTCATTAAGTTTGTGCTGTATGTTAATTGGGAGTGAGGTGTAGCTTGATGTTAGTGCCCATTGATCAAGGAGAATGTTTGCTTGTTCTAGTGGGCTGTGGTGCAGTGGTTTGGTTGCTTCTAGAGATTTTTCGTATCTTTTCCCAAACCTCAACAAGTGTTGTTTGCTCACTTATACTTTGTAGGAACTGTTCCCAATGTTTATTACGTATAACGTTGCTCATGTTTCTCACCTCTCTATTTGCGACAAGAAATGTATGCAAGTCACCTTGTGCTTTGGTTCTTTTGTATGTATCTCCAAGTTGCTTTACTCGTTCATGTTCTTTAACAAATACGGGGTCAAGGACCCACTTGGGTGGTGGTAGGTGTTGCCCACTTCTGCTAGGCTTACGGCTTGTTCCCCAACACACCCATGTGTCGTAGTAGGTAGTAATTGTATCAACGAGATCTCTGGAGAAGGCTTGTACATTCGTTATTGTGTAATCTTGATACCATTTTGAAATACAACTAATAAAGTGGTCATGCAAATCATATGGAATATTCATTTTCCGTCTCTGATGTCTATTAGGTACATCATACTGTACTCCATAGGAAGCAGAAACTGCATAGTGATCACTAACCAAGTGATTTACCAACGAACATTCCGTACTATTTTGCACAAGGATTCTACCCATTACATAATCAAGTCTGCCTTCCAATAAATGAGTTTGGGTATCCGTAGTATACACAGTTAATCTGTTGTCATAAACATATTTGATAAATTTGCATCCATTATCGTTGTTAGTACTGTCTCCCAGCGTAATATGTCTAGCATTAAAATCTCCCATGTATATTGTTCCATGATTGTCTAGATCTGGGAGTAATGTTACATTGAGTTTCTGGCTTCTGGCATATACGTTGAGGAATGAGAAGTGGCCTGCTGCAGTTTGTACATGAAAGTGGTGGTACTGTGTGTGTACATTGTGTGACGTGCTCACAAGAGTGTGTGGTAAATCACTTCTGATGTATGTTAGTAGGCCTGTGGCGTTGCTGTTAGTATAGGATGCATTGTGTGTGTGTGAGTGTGAGAGTAAGACTGTGTGTGTGTGTGTTTGTTTTTAGTGACGTAAACAAAGAAGGCACATGAGCTAAAGAGCATCATGAGGCAGTAAAAATACTTGCATCCTGTATATGATGACATTGCATTCAATCAACTCATTCAACTAAGTTCAGGTATTGTTACCTTTGGTAACAATACCTGTTATAGTGTTACCTTTGGTAACGATATAACAACATATATTGTTATATTGAATCTAATGTAACATTTGATTCAGTTCATTCAAATGTCATAATGCATAATACTACTTTAGGTGAGGTATGTGCCTTAATCTATAGCTATACATACAAATCGATATTATTGCAAAAAATCAGTATGTTTGCATCCCGTCATAACTTTAATAAGTATTTCGTCAAGTGGGACACAATTTGTGTCACACTTGAGACAATGGATTTGGCAATTAGATGAACTTTAGATAGAATGTCAGGTGTTTATGTACTTGAAAACGTATAATATTGTACGTATTAATGATCTTAATTTTTACAAAGTGTAAAATACTACAGTCCAACTTATGCATAACTATGTACAATCACCAACCATAGGACCTAACTAAGCCTAACCAAAGCAAAACTATTTACTTAAACCATGTTTTAATGAATAAAGAATGAGGCTACCATTTACATCCTAACGTCAATGTTCCTCATTGCATTGCTTGGTCAAGTTTAGTACATACTATACCTTGTGTTATATATACATGTAACGGGTTAGAATGTGCCCTCGACTATATTGATGCAGGAAGTATTTTTGATACTTACTGACAAGCAGGCAACCCGTGTAGCAGCCAAAATCAACAACCTGTAATAGTGCTCTCATAAAGATGTACGTCTCCACATTCGGCGATGCCACGGTGAGGAAGCTTACAATTAAGGAGAGGACAGCACTGGTAAGCACACTTTTCCTTCGACCGATCCTGCAGATTTGTAAAACATAATAGGCTTTTGAATTGATGATTTACTTGTATTAGGATATGGTATATATATATATGACTTACTTCTATTAGGCTATTCAATTTATTATTAACTTGTACTATGCTGCTGTATTTACGATATATTTATAAATTATAAAATAATAATGGTTAAATAATGGAAACAACAATAATGCGATGAAAGGAACAACACCTACAATATCTTTACTGCAACACTACAAATATATTTTAGTAATTATATATGTACAGACACATAAGTTTTTAAAACAAATTTAAAATACAAATAATCTATCAAAATAATTAATGATCCTGAATCTCGCATAATGTTTCTCAGTGGTTGATATTTTCAGGCAATCCAACAAAACTGTCTTAAATATCTTACCCGGCAGTGTTAGAGCAAGAAAACGGAGACATCAGTAGAACAAAATGTGAACATTATTGGTTGAAACAGTTCATTTGTGAAACTCTGTTCAAATATACTTGCTATAAGTACAATCATTATTGAAGGATGGGCTGAGAAATTATGAAAGGGAAAATTTATAATTAATTTATTGCATTTGTCTGCAGGTTGCATAAAACGAAAACACATTACTGAACTAAATATATCGGGTTAAGCAATGTAAACAGCGTTGTTAACCTGCTATAACACTTAATATCTTTTGGATGTTGTGTATCGTGTAAGCGACGAACCCTGTTTATAAATGTTCACCAAGTTACATATCATGTAAGTTAAGTTCCTGTAAGTTACGTTACCTGTAGGTTATGTTACCTGTAGGTTATGTTACCTGCAGGTTACATTTCTGTAAGTTATGTTCCCTGTACGTTATGTTACCTGTAGGTTATGTTCCCTGTAAATTATGTTACCTGTAAGTTATGTTCCTGTAAGTTATGTTACATGCAAGTTATGTTCCTGTAAGTTGTGTTACCTGTAAGTTATGTTACATGTATGTTATGTTCCTGTAAGTTATGTTCCCTGTAAGTTATGTTATCAGTAAGTTATGTTATCTGTAAGTTATGTTGCCTGTAAGTTATGTTCCTGTAAATTATGTTTCATTTATGTTATGTTACCAATAAGTTATGTTACCTGTAAGTTATGTTCCTGTAAGTTATGTTCTTGTAAGTTATGTTAGATATAAGTTATGTTCCTGTAAGTTATGTTAGCTATAAGTTAAGTTCCTGTAAGTTATGTTACCTGTAAGTTATGTTCCTGTAGGCTATGTTTCCTGTAAGTTATGTTATTGTAAGTGTTACGGTGCCCTCTCGTATGTCTCCTCAGTTCCAGCGTTAAGAGTCATATCTGCATAACTTGCAGGTTCCCTGAGATGCAGGGAATCGTTTATTATTGGAAGCAGCTGGAAGGAATACATATTTGTGGAGAAATTGCAATTTCAAAGTTTTACAGGTAAGGGAGGTTTACGCCCCTCATACATACAAAATGGCGACGCCCCTGCCAATAGTGCGCCATTTTTGTGAGGGCACTAGCGGGCTAGCGGAGGTCACGTGACATGAGTGACCCATCAGAGCCCACCCCGGGAGGCTGTGACGTCACCGGGAGGCCTGGCTCTGCGCTGGCGGAGGCGCTGAGGCTCAGAGATTCACGGACCTTGGACACGCGCGGAAGTGCATCAGTGAGCTCTCGAGATCGGAGCTTTTTGAAGCCCTACCCAGTGAACTGAGCCGCCTAATAAAGCAGTCGACGAACGTTAAAGACGACTAGTGTACCCTCGACGAGCACGAAGAAATAGCGTTTAGTGGGCGAAAGAGTGCCAAGAGCTCATTACTTGGAGTCTTCGACGGAGGTGAGCGGCGACGCTAGAAGGGCAGTGTGAAGCCCCGCAGGTCACGCTCCAGCAAGACGTGCGAGCTGCCGTGACCGGGTCACATCTACTGGAGGTCCAGAAGGGAAACATAGCGTCTGGATCCATTAGAAGTTGTCTTGGTGAAAGAACGTGCGAGGAAAGCGAAGTGTTCAGTGACCACTGGTTAGACCAGTTTGAAAGAATTGAAATCTAGGAATAGAAACGGCGATGACGAGTTACTCCACGACGCCCGAAGACCTGTGACTCGCGACCGGAACGTCGAGGGATGACCTAGGAACCGTGTACCTCTGTAAACATCGGAGGCCAGGCCCCGGTGAACAGGATTGTTAAGGTAGATCATTATTTCCCTCCCATTGTCCCTTGGTAACTAGGCTAGATAGGCCCAGCATACATATATATTACCATTATTGTGTTTCATATTAGGTTAGGCTGTAGGTCAGCTCATATATTACATACTGCACGAGGAAGACAGAATGGGATGAGTGTGGCAGAGTGTATGGACGGAGCTGCCTCTACCCCCCACCCAATGAGGGTGATTGATTGATAAAGATTAAGCCACCCAAGAGCCAATGAGGGACCGAGGATCCCTTTAAATTTGCCCAGCTGTCCGAGTTGCCAGACGCGGCGAGAGGAGTGCTGCCAACGTTAACCAATTCATTTACTTATACATATCCATATGCTTATTTTCTTATATGTGTGATGTATATTCTAATTCAGTAAACTACATATCATTTTACTTCTGAGTTTAAGTGCGCCATCCATCTCTTCGAGCATTATATAAGTGATACTATATATGCACCACACTATTATTATTATTATTGGAAATGTTCTGTTGACTGGTGACACTGCATAACACTGTATTCGTTGGAAACGTACCACTGTCTGGTGACACTAAGTATAACCACTGAGCTACATTTCTGGGATGTATAGTTCAAACCTAGCTGGCGACCTAAATAGTTGAGTGACACAGGTGTGTGACAGATGACCTGTGACACTGTTACGGCGGGCAAGACTCTGAGGAAGTGCTGTAGCAGTTGAAGCAACGACTTGAGGTCAGTACTGAGTTTTCCTTCACTCTTCTGCGGGGTACAAGGCTGGATCGCAAGCAGTGAATCCACCTGTGGAACGACTGGAGGGCGATCAGTGGCACCCGAGTGTGTGGGAGCAAAGACTCGCGGAGGTGGTCGTGGTGCTCCTCGTCTCAGGCACCGACACGACGATACCCCCCCCCCCCTCTCCCATCGTGTAACATAAGTTATATCTGGTTAAGTTATGTTCCATCTAACTTATGTTCCTTGTAAGTTATGTTCCTCTTAAGTTATGTTCCCTGTTTGTTATGTTACCTGTAAGTTATGTTCCATCTAGGTTATGTTCCTTGTAAGTTATGTTCCATATAAGTTATGTTCTCTATAAGTTATGCTTCCCTGTAAGTTATGTTCCCTGTAAATTATGTTCCTGTAAGTTATGTGTCCTTTAAATTATGTCCCTGTTCACTATGTATCGTGTAAGTTATATTCTATGTAAGGATGTTCCTATAAGTTTGTTCCTGCAACTTATATTCCTGAAAGTTATCTTCCTCCAAGTTATGTTCTCTGTAAGTTATATATCCTTTAAATTATGTTCATATAAGTTATGTTCCTCTAAGTTATATTCTCTCTAAGCTATGTATCAGGTGCCTTTTAATTATATTTACTTATATTTGGGGGCCTGACAGCTGAGTGGACAGCGCTTCGGATTCGTAGTCCTGAGGTTCCGGGTTCGATCCCCTGTGGAGGCAGAAACAAATGGGCAGAGTTTCTTTCATCCTAATTGTTACGGACCCGAGCCCAGCGTCGTAGCACGGAGCAGTGACGACCAAGCCATCTGTGGGTCAGCTCCCGAAACCCCCTCCAAATGGACGACGCCATCTAGTGAGGACGGGATATACCGGCCACAGGGGCTGGTTTCCCGTCTTGATCAGCTCGTAACATAGCCGCTGCTGACCTCTGGTGAGGTGGCGCTTAGACAGCAACGCCATCTATGGAGTGGATAGGTGGACGTTTGTGTCTAAGCCTGTAAGTGAGGTGCCCTAGAGTGTCCCTAGTACTGATGACGTGTCTGATTACAGAGTCGACCTGGGACTGCTGGATTGGACGGTGAGGCAGTCTACCCAAGGCAGCCATAGTCTCTCCACGTGTTTGCTGCAGAAGCTGTGAGTTGCTCCCGGACGAACACTGCTGAGAGTGTTAGCCTGCCTGTGACGTGGCAGAGTTGAGGAATCGTCGTACCCGGGGGTTGACTGGTGGAAGAGACTAGCCACTGTGGTGCTACAGAGAGGAGAGTGATCAGCAGAATCACGCGAGGCTCCTGCCTAGGGCTCGCAACCCTAGTATCGGTCGTGGAGTGGCCTACGCAGCGGAGCTGATTGGAACCTGCCAGCTACAGGCTGGATTTGTGGTTGAAGGCCTCCACGACGGTGCACCCAGTGGGACTGTGATTTGGCTGGCCTGTGGCCAGGGTAGATTCGCCTAGAGAATCAAAGGATTCATCGTGAGGCCACGAGAAGAGAACCAGGGCTACTCATCTTGAGCACCGTAGAGCATCCTGTGTCTTCGGAGGAAGACAAGTTATTGTATATAAGTGTAGTTATAGTCCCAGTGAGTGACTGTGAGATATTTATTTATGGTGGTGGTTAATATATATATTTATTAGTGTATTTGTATCCCTTCCCCTTTAATTTACTTGCGTTACGGAACACACCCCTTGAAAGCCACTACTAACTTGGGGCCGGATACCCTAACTCTAATAACATCAGAGAAGAACCCCAGTTGCGACCCAATAGGGCCGTAACATAATTGGCATCCCCAGCGGGATCCGACCCCTTGTCAAGTATGTTTGACAGGGGTGGTGACGTAGCGCAATCCCCTGTAAATAATTCCCCCTGTGTGTAACTATTAGGACGTTATACGTCCTGTGCGGTGCTCGGTGTGATTCAGTGCAATATTGTAGAGTGCGGTGCTCGCTGTGATTAAGTGCAATATTGTGTAGTGCGGTGCCTGGTGTAATTACGTGCAATATTGGCAAGTGCGGTGTTTGGCGCGATTAAGTGCAGTATTGCGTAGTGCGGTGCCCGGTGTCATTACGTGCAACAGTGGCAACTGAAGTGCTCGGTGCGTTAAGTGATAA